TCATGGGGTTTTCTGTGTGACTCACCCAAGGTCAGACAATGAGTTTCCATGGCCAAGGGGAGAATCAAACCCTGCTTTCCAGAGACGTTGTCCAATGCTCAGACCACAACACCATGCTAGCTCTCGCTGTGTGTGTAAGCAATAAGCAATAAGAGTGTGACTCAGTAAGAGAAGGACTCTGCTGCCTGAAGCCAAAGGTCTGTGAAGTACAGCTTTCTTTTCCCACAGTGGCCAGGCATCTGTTGGAAGCCCACAAGCAAAATATGAGCAAAATCTTCTCCCATGCTTCCTTCACAGCAATTTGTACAGAGAGGAACTAATACTGGAGCGAAAACCTTGGCAAAATGCCAAGGAATCTTTAATAACAATTGATGTATTTGCCTGCTCCCCTGTTAAAGCCCCTTGAGGAACTTAAAAATATTTGTTAGGCTGAACCTAGAGCATGACGCTAAGTACACCTTCCTTAATTAAATATGGACCAAAATCCTCAAGCTAGTTAAAGAAAGATTTAAATCTACTTTCCCCAGCCACTCTTTTGATTTTATTTATATCCTGCTTTCTTCCAAAGCTCAGTCACCATCGATCACACAGCCGGGGATCTCATTCTGATCCCAGAGCAAGATGAGCTCTGCCTGGGAGGTGCTTGGCAGGGAAGGCAGTGGAGGTGCTTCAGTGGCCCTGAGAAAAACGACACCGTTTATTTTGCCTTTTCAACATTGAGGGTCCTGCTTGACACATAAAAGGCTGGTATTACTGCCTGTCAGTCTGCCCCTCCTCTGAATGCCATACCAATCCAGATGGGTGCACTAGGAAAATAACATTTTCTTCCCCTGGAAACTGCAGGGGAAGAACTGAGTTTTTTAAAAATGCGTGAAAGCCTAAAAGAAGTTCTTTCACTGTTAAAACAATAGTGTGTTGTGTGTTCCTACAACACCAGAATGGAAGTGAGTATGGATTGGGTTGTTGTAGGTTTTTTTGAGCTATATGACAATGTTCTAGAAGCATTCTCTCCTGACATTTCACCTGCATCTATGGCAAGCATCCTCGCTTGCCATGGATGCAGGTGAAACGTCAGGAGAGAATGTTTCTAGAACATGGCCATATAGCCCGGAAAACCTACAACAACCCAGTGATTCCAGCCATGAAAGCTTTCGACAATTCATTGAGTATGGATTTTCTTCCTAGTGTACAGTACACCTGGTGTAGAATACACATTCAGTAGGATATAGATCTGAAGGTTTTTTGTTTTTTTTCCAGTGGCAGTGGGAGAAAAAACTACTCATCTTTGCACAATTTGAAAAAAAATGAACTTCTTTTGTCACCTTGACAAAAGAAAACTTGCAGTTTATTTGGGGGAGGGAACAATGGTGGAAAACATGCTGTGCAAAATGAAATATTGATCCTTCACAAACATGTTTCTTTTTCTGGGCATTTTCTTGCCCTAATGCACACTTGACACAGATAGCACATGTGTGATGTTTTAAATCAATGCAAATTATGAAAGCATTTGTGCTGGCTTTATTAAACTCTCTGCATACTCCCGTTCATTTGTGCAGCTTATAGGGGAAGGTGGTCTTAGGGGGGGCTTCATTCTCACTCTTGTGTCTGTCATGAAGACTATCAAGAAGATGCTTTTCACAACACAGAGAAACTAGAATTTATTCAAGATAAGCCCCCCCCCCCCAAAAAAAAAAAGAATGCCTTACATCTCTAGGATTCAGCTCAGACATTTGCAAAAGTTAAAGTTGTAAATAAGCTTGTTCTGTAGGAAGGCCTTGTTAAAGTAAACAGGCAGAAATCCTGTGAATTCTATCCACAAGGGAAAATACTTGCTATCATTCTAGTGCAGTGGTTCCCATCCTTCATTTTAACCAGGAACCACTTTGACCAGGGACCACTCTCCAACATTAGTACCAAAGGGGTTACAAATAAGTTTTTGATCATCATTAGTTCCGTTTTGATTTTTTGAGGTCGATTCAGAAAATTGCATTGGGTAGACCATATCAGCTCTAGTTTCTGATACAGAACATATGCCATGAACATGATATAGAAGTCGCCATCTGCTCACCCACAGAAAACCATATTTAATCATCTAGACCGCAGACCTTATTTTAGGTCTCGTGGCCCATAGGTTAGGAACCACTGTTCTAGTGCAACATGGTTTCATTCCACCTAGGGCCCTTCCACACAAACGAGATACAGGGCCTTCTCAGTGGTGGCCCCACATCTGTGGAATACACTCCCCAGGGAAATCAGATCAGCTCCATCTCTCCTTTCCTTCAGGAAAAAGCTCAAGACATGGTTTTGGGACCAGGCATTTGGGCAGCAGGCCTAACATCAGTTGCAATGCTTTATTTGAATTGATAATGCATAGGCTTTGGACTGGGTCTCTCAACTGAACTTGGATGCAGTTATATTGTTATTGTAATAATAATGTTTTAAATTACTATTTTATAATTTAAAGTTTTAATTAATGTTGAATCTGTGTTATATTGTTGTGGTGTATATGTTGGCATCAAATTGCTGCCAATTGTAAGCTGCCCTGAGTACCCTGTCAGAAGTTGAGAAGGACGGGGTAGAAATGTTTGAAATAAATAAACTGGGCTATCTGAGTCCACACTGCCATATAATCCAGTTCAATGTTCAATGTTTGGAAGGGTTCTTATAGATTCATTCTACTGTCATGGAAATTCCATGTCGCACACACTCTCCGCCTAATATCCACTCAGAAAAAAATAGGAATAATGACATACCTTACATGTGTGTTATGCATATAAAAATAAAATAAAAATATTATTCATCTAGTTCCACTGTATATCAGTATCATAGATACATGATAAGATAAACACATAACATTGTGGTATTTGTGCGATGCCGCTTCAAAAAGAAAAAGATTTGAAGAATATATGAAATTGCCATCCAGGAAAAATGACTCATGTGTTAGAACTCATTCAAAGCAAATAAAAAATTCAACTTTTTGTGTTTTTTTCTGGAATTTCCTTAAAACCTTTATCAAAACATTGGGTTGGATCTATTTACTCATATTTATACCATCTGTCTTTGAGATTAACGTAAGCAATGACAAAGTCATTGATTTTAATAAATCTAGTTCTAAAATTTACTCCTCTTTATATGCATGTATAAGTCTAGAATTTTTAGTCCAAAATTGACCTAAAAACATGGGTTGGCTTATCCATAGTCAATGTAAGTACTGTGTCTTACCTCTTATATATATATAAAAGAAACCATATTTAAGTACAGTAATGAAAGATGAGTGCTTAGCCTGTCCTGGGAAAACCTAGTAGAACAGGCATGGGCAAACTTCGGCCCTCCGGGTTTTTTGGACTTCAACTCCCACAATTCCTAACAGCTGGTAACCTATCTGGGATTTCTGGGAGTTGAAGTCCAAAACACCTGGAGGGCTGAAGTTTGCCCATGCCTGTAATAGAAGCATTGACTTCGCTACACTCCCTACCATGGTGCCACTTTTGGCCTTTTTGAATACATGGACAGGAAAATTGTAGCAGCCAAGAGCAGTACTAGCATTTTCCCCTCTCTGGGGAATTATCCTCAACTTATCCATGGTTCATATCAAAATTTAAAATTTTTCAGTACAGTAGATACTGAAATGCAGTGTCACTTAGTCAAAATTACAAAATGTCTAAACTTTAAATTGGGTCCTAAAACAATTACATTTTAGGATATTACAGTACACTGAAAGTGCATAGATTTTTGTTCATATCACCGTTATGAAGCAATCTGTTGTATATTTCTACATTTTACCTATGAATGCACATCTGACTACCTCATCACACTGCCTCCTGCAGAATTCTGGGGTTTGTAGTTTAGTGAGGCTGCTAAAGGCTCCTCTCTAAATTACAAACCCCAGAATTCTGCAGGAGGCAGAAACTGGATTTCGAGTGGATTCATCCTCTAGTGTGATGAAGCCGTGTTCCCTGAATGATTTCATAGACTTACAATCCAAACCAGCATTTTGTTGAGCATTTCTCAGAACGTGTACTCCTACAGATTTTTCAATTGTTCCACGTTTTTCTAATATGATTTCCCAAGGCTGATTTAGTAGATGCTGTGTATTTTATCCAAAGAGAGTGTTATTTCATACCTTTCACGAGTGTCCTTGGAACTATTGCAAATATAGCAACAGGATGAGTTCACTTAAGCTGTCATTGAAACATATACAAAGAATGAAAAAGCAGGCATTTTGGTAGGTCTAAGAGTAATTTCCCTGTGCTATTTAAAAGGCTAGGGCCAGAGGTGGCCCTAGGTAATTTTCAATGGTAAGCAAACAGTATTTTGGCGCCCCCAACCAATCACTGATATATATTTTCTGTTCGTCATGGGAGTTCTGTGTGCCATATTTGGTCCAATTCCATCATTGGTGGAGTTCAGAATGCTCTTTGATTGTAGGTGAACTATACATCTCAGTAACTACAACTCGCATATGTCAAGGTCTATTTTCCCCTAAGAGCACCTCAAGAGCACCCCTGGGCAAAATCAACAATACTGCAAATGCTTACTTTGCATAATGGGTTGAGCCGCCCCTGGCTAGGGCAGAAACCCAGCTAGCATTCATTCCCATTTAGTTTGCAAGACCTTTCAGCATATCCTTGATGAAAATCAATTTTGACATTGACTGTTACTCTGACAGTTACATGACATATATAATGATCCTGTCTGTTTACACTTTTTAACAGGCAATGATACAAAGCAAAGGGCTCAGGGAAATAGGGACACGGGATATGTATCATGAGACCTTGGTCATCTGGGTAATGAAGGCTGCGCTGTCTTGTGCACAAGTAGACATTTATAGTATATCTTTATTCAAGAGCTACATGTTCTCAGTTCTCTTTTCTTAGTTTCACATTAAAATGTGAATATTTTTAAGAGCCAAAACCTTCCAGCTTCTTCATAGCACTTGTTAAGCACAACTGACCCAAATAAATAAATAAATAAATAAATAAATAAATAGGATATGTGCACCAATGCTGAATTAACATCATATATTCATATTGCAAAAATCAAAGCTGTATTTCTTACATGTCAAGGAGATGTAGAAGGCAGTTGTCTTTTTCAAGAAGTATTTGCCAGCTTGTAAGCAAAGAGCCAGTATGATGTAGCAGTTTGACCATTGAACTATAACTCTGGAGATAAGAGTTGAAATCTCCACTCAGGCATGGAAACACACTGGGTGATCTTGGATAAATCAATCACTTTCAGCATCAGAAGAAATAAAGACAACCCTTCTCTGAAAAAAAATTGCCAAGAAAACTCAGCGGTAGGGTTACCTTAGGGTTGCCATAAGGCAAAAACAACTTGAAGGCACACAACATTGATAAGCAGCATTGCATCAGTGCATTGCTCTCCCAGGAATTGGTCACCATTAATATGTCATGAAAAGAGTTGTGGCTGGATTCACCCATTTGGGTTGTGGTAACTGTTTGGCACCCCAGCAACTGCTGTAAACCCAAAGACTCATAGCCACAACTCTTTTTCTCACTAGCAGCTGCATCTATTCAGTGGCTAGTTTTGACTTTCAATACTTCTGTCCCCACAGGCATGTTATTCAGATTTCTACAGTCAAGTAACAGGCACAAATAAACTCCTCACAAAAGAAAATATTTCAGTTACACTAGTCAGTTGAGATGTTCTCGTATTTTGTCCTTTACTGATATGTACATGTACATAAGGACATTCTGAAGACATCCTCACTGAGACATAGGAAATTTAACATTTGCAAATTACATTTATCACATAATATTAATTACAGTCACGCATAAAAGTGCAACAGACAGCAAAGTAAACTCCGCACTTGTCAATTAAGTGGTCATAGCTAAAGATCAGTCAGAAAAATCTGAAATACTGGTTTGTATTTGTATCTATACTTCATGAAGCACAAAGATAATTTACCAAATATATTCACAATTACTAGTTATAAAAACAAACAAATAAACTGAAATGATATAACTACTTTTTTCTCCTACTCACACCCACACCTTTGGTAGTACATTCAGTCTTGTTTTTAGAGCAGTGATGGGCAATGTGTAGCGGTCCAAATGTTGTCTGATTTCCAATTTCCATCAGCCCTAGCCAGCCTAGGCAATGGTAAAAGAATGAGGGGAGCTGCAACCCAACCATGTTTAAAACTCCTTGAATGTGCGTTTCCTAATATTTGCTGGGCAGTCCACAGACCAGGCTTATACTATAGCAGCAGATGATCTCCTTAAAAGTCTTTCTCATCTCTTGGCTTCGGAAGGCATAGATCAAGGGATCAATAATTGAATTGCACATGATGAGGATGAGATACATGTTGAAGTGAGACATGAAGCAAACACAGTAAAGATTTTGTGGGCAAGAGATCATGAGGATAAGATGGAGGAAAAATGGAGCCCAGCAAACTATGAAGATGCCAAGTAGCATAGTCAGAGTTATGGCACCTTTCATACTGGTCCTCTGATGAACAGAATTATATCCCGGCAGAGCTGCTATCCTCTTGACATGTGTACGAGCCAAAAGGAACATGTGTATGTACAGAGATACCATGAGAAACAACATAGTGAAGAACATTGTGATGAGACACATGATGACATACTTTGATTCATAATAGAGGATGAAGATGATACCACAGCCTATGCAAAAAGTCCAGATGCATGCAATTATGAGTCCTGATCTTTTCACAGTCATGATATTGTGATAACGGAGGGCATAAAAGATAGTGATGTACCTGTCCACTGCTATAGCTAGCAAACTGCACATGGAAGCCACAACAGAGATACATATCATTGAGTCAAAAACATTGTCTATGTGACGTACAAAAACATCTTCAATAATGAGGTGTCTATTGTTTAGCAAATATATAGTGATGGTCTCCCAGGCATTTGACACACTGACCAGCATATCAGCCACGGCTAAGCTGCACACAAAGAAATACATAGGTGAATGCAAGTTCTTGTTCTTAATTATGGCACAGATGACCAGGATGTTTTCAAGAAGGCTTACAATGCCAAGTATAAGAAAGACTTCAACAGCAATGACCACTTGTTCACAGGTTGACAGTTTAGTCTTGATGGTAGGCAGCGTTAGGTTGCTTGCAAGCACTGTCAGGTTAATGTCTAGACTGTTGGGTTGGTCAGAGTTGTTCATCTTGGCTCACAAAGAAGCTCTTTCCTTAAATGCTCTTTTCAGTCAGGCAGGCTGGTTGTAAAACAGTCTTGCAAATGCATTTTTGACAGGAAGTGCCAGAACCTGTGAAACATACCAAAAGAAAGAGAAAGAATGACCAAAAGCAGGTTGACAAAAAGCATTAGCTAGACATGTAAGTGGCACAATCATCTTTTAAAAAGGGGAATCTTTCCAATGTCATATTAAATGAGCAGATGGCAGGCGGCAGCTTTTATACCCTTGTGGTTATTTTTCTCTTGACTACTGAATTTCCACACATTCTACGAAACATGATATCTTAATGATACATCTTCTGATCAGTAAACAGCATGGGATTACTAATAATTTAGTCCCAGCAACCTTAAAAACCCCAATGAATACAGCACCCATGATAACTATCAGATTACATCTGCTTGCCTGATTTGACTTATGTAAAAGTTTGAATTTCTGCATTTTATGCTTGAAAAGCAAAAGGTTAGAATCCTTTCCTTGATCTTTCCACTTGCTACTATCGCAACAAGCTCTGATACCAACACTAAGCAGCTGTATCCCTTGCTAGCCATCTTACTGTAACAGATGCAGTGCATCAAAGCATAGAAAATTCCCATTTATTGTAAATTCTTTCTTGCTTGAGGACATCAGCATTCAGATATTTTTGGAACAGTGGAAGCATTATAAAAAAAGGATACAAAATAGCCAATCATTCATAAATACAACTCAAATTATATAATTGATACAACCAAAAATAATGATATTTCAAAGCATCAGATACCCTTCCATCATCCACAAAAATGAAATATATTTAATTTGCAAATAAGAGGAGAAATGTAAAGTATTTACCAAGAATTTGAGCTCCTGTATGTCTTCAAGTCTGCACTTTCTTCCTTTGGCTGTCAGAAGTTTGTGTTCACCTGTCCATCCAGCATCAAGAGTTTGTGTTCTTTTGGCAGGAATAGATGCCATGTCAGAGGAAAAACATGATTCACATCCACAGAGACAGGTCTCCCTTGTATTCAAAATTACATATTGTGGTGCTGCCTTTTTATACTCGCAGAGTTGATCACTCCAGTGTTCGCCTTCCAGCTCCTCCTCCCTTTCTTTCCCCCCAACTTCTCATTGACTTCCAGAAAACCCCAAGAGTTGAATTTTTAGCACCACCTCGTGGCTACTTCTGCAATGCATCTTTGCTTTTTTAGGTGGGAGTCACTCTGCCTAAATCTCAACACCAGCAACTATTTTTGATCAAAAATAATTTTGTCCATTTCCATTTTCAAATAAATTAAATAACCAAAAGTATTCCTTGGGTTTTTTAATCATACTTGCATGGGTTGTATTCACTTTCTGTAAGGTTTAATTTAATTCAGAATTAATTTGCTTTGCTCTAGAGTCCGTATTCACTTTTAAAAATTCAGTACCTAGCCTTAATCTGCAAAGAAATTAAACAAATAGTAACTGCCTCTTATCATGTGCAGATTTTCCTCCCATAACCACCAAAGCCAGCATAGAGATGTGATTTAGGCTTTAGTACCTGTTTTTTAAAAAACCTCTTGATGTTGTATCTGTCTATTATTGACTGGGAGACACTTATACCAGAATTGATTTTGCTACAGATGACTCTTAGTCAGTAACAGAAACATACAATAATTGGCCTTAGTTTACAAAAGGAAAAGTACAGAAGGTGCTTGACACATCCTAAGAATGTTCAAACCATCTCTTTCATTATGATGTAAAATTTCCAAGAGAGTAGCCCCCTTAGTCTATTGGGCCAGAATTATTATTATTATTATTATTATTATTATTATTATTATTATTATTATTATTATTTCCTACCTCCATCTCCCTAAACAAGGTGCAAAATAACACAAGTAAAAACATAAAGTAATCAACAATATTAAAACAATAAAACCAATAAAATCAAAGACATCATAAGACATAACCAAACAGCAAGCGGCCAATGGCCAAGAAAAGTGGGCATGTTTCAGACAATAGGGCAAGACAGGACTAGTGCAACATAAACTGTAAGCCCAGGGGCTGGGGATAAAGTGCTGGAGATCGTACCAAAAGATGAGAGCTTGGCAGACTTGATCAGTAGTTGAACCATTATTCAAAAGCACATTGGAACATCCAAGTCTTCAGGTCTTTCTAAAAGATGGACAAGGTGGGGGCTAATCTCCATCTCCCTGGGGAGAGAGTCCAAGAGCCGGGGGGCCACCACCGAGAAAGCCCTCTCTCCCATCCCCACTAGTCGAGCTTGTGACGGAGGTGGAAGCAAAAGAAAGACCTCCCTGGCAGATCTTAGCACTTCACTAGTTCATAGAGGGAGATACGGTCACAAAGATAAGCAGGACCCTAACCGTTTATGGCTTTATAGGTAATGACCTGCACTTTGAATTTTCATTAGAGGCTTTGTCTGCTTCTGTAACTAGCTCATTAGTAACCTGAAATAACAGACAGTCTTGTAACAATTTAACAACAAAGCAGCTGCACTACGATAGTTCTGAGTTTGCAAGACCTGAGCAGGGTTTTTGCCAACAGGGTGACTTGGATTTCTCTCATTCATAGAATCATAGAATCATAAACATAGAATCATAGAATCAAAGAGTTGGAAGAGACCTCATGGGCCATCCAGTCCAACCCCCTGCCAAGAAGCAGGAATATTGCATTCAAATCACCCCTGACAGATGGCCATCCAGCCTCTGTTTAAAAGCTTCCAAAGAAGGAGCCTCCACCACACTCCGGGGCAGAGAGTTCCACTGCTGAACGGCTCTCACAGTCAGGAAGTTCTTCCTAGTGTTCAGATGGAATCTCCTCTTTCTTGTAGTTTGAAGCCATTGTTCCGCGTCCTAGTCTCCAAGGAAGCAGAAAACAAGCTTGCTCCCTCCTCCCTGTGGCTTCCTCTCACATATTTATACATGGCTATCATATCCCCTCTCAGCCTTCTCTTCTTCAGGCTAAACACGCCCAACTCTTTAAGCTGCTCCTCATAGGGCTTGTTCTCCAGACCCTTGATCATTTTAGTCGCCCTCCTCTGAACACATTCCAGCTTGTCAATATCTCTCTTGAATTGTGGTGCCCAGAATTGGACACAATATTCCAGATGTGGTCTAACCAAAGCAGAATAGAGCGGTAGCATTACTTCCTTAGATCTAGACACTATGCTCCTATTGATGCAGGCCAAAATCCCATTGGCTTTTTTTGCCGCCACATCACATTGTTGGCTCATGTTTAACTTGTTGTCCACGAGGACTCCAAGATCTTTTTCACACGTACTGCTCTCGAGCCAGGCGTCCCCATTCTGTATCTTTGCATTTCATTTTTTCTGCCAAAGTGGAGTATCTTGCATTTGTCACTGTTGAACTTCATTTTGTTAGTTTTGGCCCATCTCTCTAATCTGTCAAGATCGTTTTGAATTCTGCTCCTGTCCTCTGGACTATTGGCTATCCCTCCCAATTTGGTGTCATCTGCAAACTTGATGATCATGCCTTCTAGCCCTTCATCTAAGTCATTAATAAAGATGTTGAACAGGACCGGGCCCAGGACGGAACCCTGCGGCACTCCACTTGTCACTTCTTTCCAAGATGAAGAGGAAGCATTAGTGAGCACTCCCTGTGTTCATCCACTTAACCAATTACAGATCCACCTCACCGTAGTTTTGCCTAGCCCACATTGGACTAGTTTCCTTGCCAGGACTGCTGTAAGTTAAATCCAACTTGACAAAAGAATCCTAGTGCCAAATTTAGGTAACTGATGCTAAATACACACAGGGGGCAAATCACAAACAATTATGATAACATAATTCAAAGTGCTGGTCTTGACCTATAAAGCTCTAAACGACTCCGACCCAATTTACGTGTCAGAACGGATTCTCCCCTATGAACCATCAAGGTTATTAAGATCTTCCGGGTGGGGGTAGGGGGCTGCTCTCAGTCCCACCACCTTCACAGTCACGTCTGGTGGGGACGAGGGACAGGGCCTTCTCGGTGGTGGCTCCTCGGCTCTGGAACTCCCTCCCACTAGAGATTAGATCTGCCTCTTCCCTCCTATCATTTAGAAAACAAGTAAAAACCTGGCTTTGGAATATGGCCTTCAATGACTGAGGCAATGACTCTGACCACACGGAAGGATGGCAACGAATCATGATTTCACCTGACGACCTGGCCTGTGTAATGTTTATGATTGTATTTTAATGTACTTGTTGTATTGTATTATGAGGATGTTTTGTATTTTATTATTGTATCTGAATTTCATGCTGTAAACTGGCCTGAGTCCCTCTTAGGAGGTGGAGAAGACCGGTATATAAAAACTCTAAATAAATAAATAAACAAACAAACAAACAAACAAATAACATCATAGTTATCTCACTGAAGTAGAGAAAGATACAGAAAGAAAATGGGCATAGTGTAGAAAAGGTAGAAATAAGAATATGGATGAAAAGAGTTTCTTCCTCTGGGGAACGATTTTTTTTCTCCTTTCCCTTGGGCATGTTTTGGACTCACTCCTCAACCATATATAAAAAACAGTGGGCCTGCAACTAGTAGTTCTCAACCTTCCTAATGCCACAACCCCTTAATACAGTTCCTCATGTTTTGGTGACCCCCAACCATAAAATTATTTTCCTGCTACTTCAAAACTGTCATTTTGCTACTGTTATGGATTGTTATGTATATATCTGATATGCAGGATGTATTTTCATTCACTGGATGAAATTTGGCACAAATACCCGATACGCCCAAATTTGAATACTGGTGGGGTGGGGGGGGGAATGATTTTGTCATTTGGGAGTTGTCGTTGCTGGGATTTATAGTTAGCCTACAATCAAAGAGCATTCTGAACTCCACCAATGATGAAATTGAACCAAACTTGGCATACAGAACTCCCATGCCCAACAGAAAATACTGGAAGGGTTTGGTGGGCATCCACATTGAGTTTTGGAGTTGTAGTTCACCTACATCCAGAGAGCACTGTAGACTCAAACAATGACAGATCTGGACCAAACTTGGAACAAATATTCAATATGCCCAAATGTGAACACTGGGGGAGTTTGGGGAAAATATATCTTGACACTTGGACATTGTCGTTGCTTGGGATTTATAGTTCACCAACAACCAAAGAGCATTCTGAACTCCAGCAATGATAGAATTAAGCCACAGTTCCCACACAGAACCCACATGACCAACAGAAAATATTGTGTTTCCTGGTGGTCTTTGGTGACCTGTCTTACACACCCTCATGATCCCCCTAGGGGTCCCTACCCTCAAGTTGAGAAACGCTGCCCTAAAAGCTCTGGGCCCATCAAGTTTCTTTAAGGCTTCAGTTGTGAATAAGTCTCTTCCTGCCCACCCAGTAAACCACTTCAGCATGCTGTCCAGGGTCCTGATAGTCTCTCCTGACAAACCTGATTTTATGGCATAGGCCGTACAGCATCGAATCTGCCTGACCCATCTTAATTGCAGCCAAAGTAGAAGCCATGCTCAGGCAAAATTATTTTGCTTATAATGTATCTATAGCACTACTTTGGTTCAGTACTTTCTACTTATCTTATCTCATCTGCAGATAAAAGCATTGTCCCCTGCTTGCATTTCTTTTTGAGTACACTACATGTCTTTTTTATTTCTCCTTGGTTTCTAATCCTATTTCTACAGACTTAGAAAAATGATGCTTTCTCCCCAACCCTGCATAAAATCTTTCAGCAGAAGAGATACTGTATTTCATTATGTACTGATCATGGGAGGGAACTGGTTCCTGAATTGTTTATACCTTTTATCTTTTTAAAATTCCTATGATCTTCCTTATGTGTATATTCTCCTGCATAATCTGTTTATTTCCTTTCATCCAGTTTAGTAATATTAATAATAGCTTTTGTGGGCTTTTTGTTGTTGTTCCAGGGGCAGTACAATGCTTTGCTTTGGTGGGCTTTGCAATGGCATAGCAAATATTCAAGGAAAGTCAAATGTGATTCAAATTGTGGTTTTGGGTATGTCATTTTTGTTCCTCTAGAAAAAAAATCTGGGGAAGCAATATCTGCCCTTCCCCAGATATTGCTGGATTACAACTTACATTGTTCCCAGAATTAGCTTTGCTGGTTCGAAATTGCTGTTGTTATTCATA